ATACTACAAATGAAAAATTTGTATGTGTACTAACATATATATAAGTAAATAATTCATCGAGTCTGAAAGAAACCTCAACAGAATGCAGAAAGCACTGGACGGCCGTTTCGTCCTATGTTTGGGACTAGGGTAGCCAAATCAGACTCAATATAGCGTCGCTCGCTCACATATTCCGTGGTGGAACTCAACTGAGATTCTCTCTAACCATAGGACTGTGCCCCCAGGAGCCACGACTACTATCACCAAGCCGCTCACTCTAAAGCATTAGAAGCCAGTTCAAGCAATGATATACAAATGATAGAAATTATGAGGAGTATTTGATAATTATAATTAAGTAATTCATCGAGTCTGAAAGAAACCTCAACATTTGGTATGACGTTTGCTTGATAACCTAACTGTCCGGGTTTCAATTCTCGGTAGTGGATGCGCACTGCTGATGAGTCCCAAATATAGGACGAAACGCCCGTCCAGTGCTTTATGCATTCTGTTGAGGTTTCTTTCAGACTCGATGAATTACTTAATTATAATTATCAAATCCTCCTAATATATATATATATATATATATATATAAATAGTCAAACCTAGTGAGCCAGACAAACATACCTCCGTTTAGGTGAAACCTGGGTAGGTTTGTCTGGTTCACTAGGTTTATCTAGGTCTGCTCTACGGTTGTATTGAGCTCTTTTTAGTTAGTTGTTTACTCGTGTCGGTTTTTTTTTCTTTGGCCTTTGAACCTGTATCTGTGCGATTTTTTCGACAGACTTTCATGTTCCTGGATCTTTCTTTTTTTTAAAACATTTTTTTTCCTTCGAGATTGATTTGATTATTGGCAAATCAAAAATTCGAAGGTTTTTCAAGACGAGTATAGTTACCTATATATATATATATATATATATATATATATATATATAGAGAGAGAGAGAGAGAGAGAGAGAGAGAAGAAAAGAAAGAAAGAAAGAAAGAAAGAAAGAAAGAAAGACGCTTCAGTCGCTTTCCCACGTCCGTAAATTTGATTCCTGTGCCTTTTTTTAAATTATTTCATGGTAATTATTTGGATCAGATCTTCGCTATGATATCTAGTCTTTATGAATTTAAACGCAGTACTAGACTGGTAACAAGGTCTCGTCAATTTACAGTTGAATTGGCAAGATGTAACCGTAAGTTCTATGCTAATGGTTTCTTCTCTAGCACTTGTCGCTTGTGGAACTCTCTTTAGGCTCCATGCTTTCTAGCCAACTTTGTTATTTAAAAATTTGAATGCAGTGTCAATCGTTATCTACTGACTTCCTGATTACTCTGCTATCGTTCTCGAAAGTGAAAAGACTATATTGAATCCATGCTAAGTCAGCTGCTAAGAAAGTTTGTTCAACTGCTTAGATTGTCTTTACTAAACAAAGGATGTAACGAATAATGAGAGGATATAAAGAATAAACTATTAAACTTAAAATGAAAACGAGACTATTCACAAATTAATAATGGCTGAAAATGTGCCGACTAATACAAATTCAAGATAAAATTTGTTCCAAATATTTAAATTTTGTCTCGGCCGGGATTTATCACCGACTATTGAATAGAGTCTTTAGGGCTTCCTTTCGAACAGAAGACCAGCCTTGATTTTATCTTACACCACTTCTAGACGACTTGCAGACACCTGCATCAACAATGGCGAATCGCAACAGAGATAAGAGAATGTTTTCGCATCTTTCGCGTGAATGTGACATAAAGAACTTGTTTTTACAATTTGAAATTACGTGTGTTCAAGTATACTGCCGAGCCAAAACATGCCGACCACGATATGTGTCAAGAATAACAGTCACTGCTTCTTTCAATTGCAGGCTTACGGCCTGATCTCGTTGAAACACCACTTCCCATATGATCATCAAAGTTAAGTAACGTCGAGCCTGGTCACTAATACCTGGGAATACCATAAACTGGATGTGCGGGTGATGTAATCGGTAATCTTTCTTTTTTTTTTCTTTTTTTTTTTAAGCAAATCACCCTAAGTAAGGCGGGAAGTCCACTAGCACGCAAAGGGTTACAGAGAATGAGAGTAAGAATAAAGAGGAGTGTTTAGGAAAAGGATAAAAAGAAGGACAGGGACCAAGGTCAAGGCATCAGAAGATGTCGATTGACATTACATTTAACTATTTGAAGATTGTATAACTATCGAGGAAGCAAGTGATAGGAAGGGAGTTCCACTGATGGGAGCTGCGAGATAAGAAGGTGTCGGAGCAGAAGAGATGGCTGCATTTATCAGTTTCGACAGTGGAACCGAGATGCCAACCTAGTAGCACGGTTAAATTCATGTAGTTTGCCATGAAAGTACTTGTAGAAAAGACAGAGGGAAGCCACAGCACGGCTGTGAGACAGCGACTGCAGACGGGGTGCCAGATTAGGACCAGTCACGTACCATATCCGTTTTGTCGAGGATCTCGAGATGAACAACAGGAGCACTAGACCATATATGGCAGCAGCATTTCATGCATGGACGAATAATCGAAGAGCTGAATTTTAATCCCTCTTCAGTTCGTTGTATTCACCTAAACACAAAACAGACTCGGAAACTCCCCTAGCTATGGATTAATTAGTAAGACTTGTTTAACTAAGCCATTATTATCTTAGCCCCACCCCACAAAACATTCTTATAATCTAAAATATTTTCTGGTTTTAAACAACCTGGAAAGGGTTAATAAGCCGTAGAAAATCAATCAATCAATCAATTTTCAACTACGAAAGGCTAAGCAGGTACGTCGATCTAGGATGCTCCATTTTGATGTGTGGTACTATGATGGGAAAGCAATGACACCATGATGCACAGTGAGGGGAAAACTAACAAGCTGATAATGATAGTATGGATTGGACATGGGAATTTTTCAACATGTGTTCAGTGTATAACGATAGACTACACCCGGCAGCAAGACCTCTGATCAGGAGATTGGAGGTTTTGAGGAGCTTGTAACCACCTCTTAATTCTCAGGTTCCCCCTGACCCTGAGTGGTAGCACCTGTTAGAGTCCCAGCTATGGGCAAATAGTGCACGCCCAAACGAAAACAAAACAATATCAAAGTTTAAAAAAATATATTTTTATAGTAAAAATACCAGAAATACATTTTTATATAAAAAAAATGACCAACAATAAATATAGTAAAATGACCACCAATACACTTTTAAAGAAAAAGACCAGCAATACAATTTATAGTAAAATTACCAACAATACATTTTATCTGTATTTGAAGGAACATTGTGACACTATTGTGACACTGGTAGTAAGAAATTTGGAATTAAAAAGTTCATGTGAAAACTCCGTATAGGAATTGAAGGATTGGAAGGGTTAAAAACGTTAAAGTGAAAACATGAGTTGAAATATGAAACGAGCAAAAAAATGATATATTTTTCTTTCCGATAACCAGAACAGAGAAAGTATTTGTGGAATGTAAAATGTAAAATATGGTTGCTTATTAGCGGAAAGGCAAATGGAATTGTTATAATTCGCAAAGGCAATAATATAAACAATCTGAAATATGGTTTTGTAGACATCCAAATTTAGGCAAAGGTTTTAATCGGTCATGTAGAAAAGTCGAAAACAAAGAAAAAATTTTGACGTCAAGGATATAGGAAATAATTTTTAAACATAAAAGTTTGTTATCGGTAAATTTCTGTTTAGAATAAGTGGCTGGCCGCAAGCCACTTGTCGTCAGGACATAGAAAGGAAGTTCATTGTCGAAGAATGTATAGTTTTGAATAACTGACCTTTGTTTAAAGGTCAGTGTCGTTTCTCCAAAATTGGATAAAATAATTAATTGATATGAATATTGAGGAGTCCTGAGGTGCAGTTGGAGTCGGGAGAAATACATATAAACAGAGCGCTTAAGCGGCCCTGTAATTGGAGTGAGAGACGACAAGAGACACAGACGAGACGAGACGAGACGAGACAGCAGCGGAGCTGCAGAACCTACGTGGCCTACTGCAGAGAGAATTCCCGACTGAACTCTTTTTTGTTGAGTGAAGAAGCTTCAAGTTTTAGAAGTGTTATGGGATCTTACCCATAATAATAATAATGGACTATTACATACTTAATAAATACTAAAGGAGTAGGAGGGGGGTTATTAGTTCAAGTCGAGTCATTAGTTCAAGTCGAGTCAAGAGTCGAGTCAGAGGAAGTCCGAAACAGAGTCGCGTTCAGACAATTACTGCAAGACATTGGAATAGTGATACTGGTCGAGACTACATTGTTCTCTCTACTAAACCTGATTGTCCATGCTGGCTGGTAGAACTCTCTACATCTGAGAAGAGAGGAACCCAGACGAGGTTATGCCGATTGGCAGAGTCTCGTTCGGCAAATATCATAGCTGGGATCTGTAACTCAGCTCTTAGCTGTTGTCGAACTCTCTGGACGAGGCTATGCGGTAGGTCAGAGTCTCGTCCGGGGAGGTAGACAGACCCGAACCTGTTTATGCGGGGTTTACAGGGAAATTTTGGCCGATCCTACGGGTTCGGATTGCCCCACATTAAATTCGGCCTCGTGCTACATCCTACTCCCTGGGGAGGTTGGTAAACATCTCGCACCCAGTATTAATCTCACCTTATTTAACAACGGAAATAATTGCTAATTTTTTAATTTTAATTTTAATTTTGCAGTTGGGATCTTTTGAGTACGACTTATTCGAGAACTGCTAACCTTCTAATAATAGCACTCACTACTGGACTGATTTGAGACGACCTTGTAACTAACTGTTACATTTATTCTTTTTGTCCTTTTATTTCTTTTTACAATCCACCTTTTCAAGTATATATTCCTATTAGCACGGAATATAACACATAGTGAACTGTTAACTCACATACATTGATACAAAATCTCACCTTTCAACGATTTCACCCAACTGTCCCGCAGACAGACTTCAACCTACGCCAAATTCAGTCTTTTTAACCCAAACCACCCACCGAACTATTCGAAGATAACAAAGTTCTCTACTTGAGAGAAAGTTAATAGTATGTCTTACCTCTCGCCAGGTGGTCCTGACTCTAGTTTGCTGGATACGACAAACGCTGACCACAAAGAAACGTTTGATGTCGAATATAACGCTAAAGATTCTGGCATTTACTATGATTATACTTTGAATTAAATAAACGTTGAACAGTTAGATTATTAGTCGGGAGGCTGCGAGAAGCGTCGATTCAGAGTTAGTTATAAAAATACAGACGTGTGTCTGGAGAAAGATAAAAGGGTAAGTGTTTTACAAAATGTCGCGCTGCCCACTTTCGGGTGGTGTTGAATCGTTGACCCATAGCCAGCAAGTCTTATCCCGACTGGGGGGGGGGGCGCTATTTGGAGTCCTGTTGTGGCCTCTGCCATTTGTTTTTGTCAACACTTTTATTCGGCCACCCGCCATTTTTTTTAAATTATTAAACAGATGTTAAATTGTTAGTCATCAACCAAATGTATATCATTAGCTGACGATGAATTGAAAATAGAAGGCACTTCAACGTGGTGTAATGGTTAACAAGTTTAGAAAATCACCATAGCCAGCCCAGTAGAGATGGCATTGTAACCTTTTCAGTCTTAATCACTTCACAATGCGGAATGAAGTGTCTAGAGTGCGAAAACAGCATCGGTAGTAGCCCTCAAATGAGCGTAGGTGACAGTGGTAAATGCGGCCCGTCGATTTCAAGACCCCAGTGGAAGGTAAGGGCAGTACTTTTTAAAATTATCTAAAATCAGTGAATTATTCAATTTAAATGAAACATATTCATTACTGATTTTCTTTTATAGCGATTTTTTTGTTTAAGAAATATTGAGAAAAGATTATTCTTTTTTGTAATAAGCATCAATATTTTCATGACTAAATTTGACTTGAAAAAATGCTTAAGTCTCAAATTTTTATACTTCCACAAGGCCTGAATATGGGGTACTCAGTGAGAATCGAACTCACTACTCAGTCACAACCGATCTCGCGAGGAAAGCTTCCTAACTATTACACTACGTCAAAATGGCGTTTAATGTTTAAACGTAGCTTACCTGTAGCACAAGACCGAAAATGGTGGGCCTCAAGTAATTGGTCTAACGACGACGGTGTAGTGTCCTTGCTGTGCTGGTTAGGGGTCGTAGAAGGAAAACCGTTGATGTAACATCCTTGAGACTGATTTTGTCACCTCGAGGCGATGTAATGGTTAGCAAGTTTGTCTTGCCAGGACAATTACAACTGAATAGTGAGTTCGATCCTCACTGGGTGCCCCATACATTCGGCCTTGTGCCACATATAAGCTACGCTTGGAAAATCCCCATCCTTGAGACTGATTTCAGAATATCGATGCATTCTACCTTAAATGATTTTAGATATTGTCATAGGTGGATGTATATGCAATGTTTTGTCATTCACGTGGGAAACCAACTCAATTTAGCGAAACAGCATCCATTTTTTTCTCTTATCTGCTCCTATTATTTATTGTATGGCGATTGTAACAACTTTTGTTTCTCTCGACTCTATCAAGAACTGCTGTTCTAGTGAAAGCTATCTTCATGTTATAATGTCTATCAACCCTTTCAATTAATTCACCCATTCATGTTTTATATGGCATACTGATTATGCCTTCCTAAAGCTAAGCAGAGTATTAAGAAACAGGAAAACTTCATTAGAAGCAAAGAAAAGAGTGCTGAAATCTTATGCGATATCACTCCTTCTTTATGGAAGTGTATGCTGGACAATCTCCCCAAAAAGGAAGAAGAGACTTGAAGCAACAGAAATGTGGTTCTACAGAAGGATGCTGAGAATACCATGAACTGAACATGTGAACAATGACAAAGTTTTTGAGAAAAGGGAAACAAATAGGACCCAAATCAGAAAGAGACAGTTGAAATTTTTAGGGAAGGAATGATGGTTTAGAAAATTTGACACTCACAGGATAATATTGAAGGCAAACGAAACAGAGGGAAACATAGCATGAACTACTTAACTAGCTTGCCTATATGGTTGCCAGAACAGGGACTAGGAGAGCTAGAAGAAAGTCAAACTTTACTAAGAGTTATAAATTTGGGGAAATTGTGGAGAGCTATAAACGTCTACGTCCTGAGTGACCAACCGTATTTCTACTATTATAATATTCCTTAATTCTTTCGATTCATTCATCCATTCTTGAGGATATGTTTTCTGTTTTGAAGCAACGAGGTTAACTGTTAAAAATGTGCATTTCTGGCTTTGATGAATTCAAAGAATGTTTTGCTATCACCCCATGCAAGGCAGTAAAGCCACTAAGACACAATGGGTCACAGAGTGTGCAAGAATTAGGAACAGAAATATTATTAATGATTGAGGAGAGGAAAGAGTATTCGTGTGGGAAGTTGGCAGCGATTGATATAGCATTTAATTTTTTGCAGATTAAAGTTGGCTGAAAATCATAGAGCCAGAAAGGTGATCGACAAGCGATAAGTGCGAGAAAGGAACCCGTTTGTATAGAAATTACGGTTGCATCTAGCCAGCTGAACTGTAAATTGATGGGACCTCGCAGCCAATCATGTCCTGCGCTTAAATTCATAAAGTCTAGGTGCCACAATGAAAAGCATTATTTATTCCGTTTGAAATACAGAAATGTGGCACAAGACCAAAAAAGTGGGGATGGAGAAAAGGGCGGTCTTTTTCTGTCTTAATGTTGTAACCTAGGAAAGGTTACTGAATAGAATAATCAAATGAAGGTTGGTGATGAACAATAATACTTAGGACAAGAACAACACGTATAAGATTCGCCAGCGGCGCGTAGAAGTAGTAGTCAAGTGCATTTCACAATGAATCTCCAACTGCAGACCAGCATACAGTATTTACTATTGTATTTCTGTGAATGGGGATATACCCATTATCGTTCGTAGGTATGCTACAACACTTAACATTAAACTTATCTAGCTAAAATTACTGACCCAAACATACCACAATATTCCGAAGAGCTCATCCGAACAATTACCATGAAAATATTTATAGAAATGACACAGAGAGGCAAACTTACTGCGGTGACTGAAGCCGAGCAGCCAGATCAGGACCAATAATATTGCTGATTTTTGGGATTTTATCAAAGGAACTCAAGGAAAATAGCTATATTTAGCCGTCCCCCCCCCCACGTGGGGTAGCATGTGGCACAAGGCCGAGTTTAATGTGGGTCATCCGAGCCCGTAGGTCCGGCCAAAAATATAGCCTTCGACTCGACTAGGCGGGTTCGAGAGCTGTCATAACCTCCCCGGACGAAATCTTGCCCTTCGGCAAAGATTCATCCGGGTTCCTCTCTGCTAATGCAGAGAGTTTGACAGACGGCGGTTGCTGTAACTTTAATACAGCTATTAACTCAAGGAAAATAGCAGGGTCACCGGATCGTATATGGCAGCAATATTTTGAGCATGGATCTTGAACGTAGATGTTTTTCTTCTATGTGCAATGAAGTAGGCGATCACAGCTCTCCACAACTTCTTATTACATGTAGCTCTTACTAACTTTTGTCTTGTTACTAGCCCCCCCCCATTCCATTCTAACATCGATTTACACAAGCCCGTCAGGTAGGTAAGACGATATCTCCTTTTGTGATTTTTGTTTTCAGTATGAACTGAGAGTATCAAATTTTCCAAGCCTTCCTTTCTCATTATGTGTCCATGAAATTCCAACAGTCTCTTTTCTGATTGTGAGTGTAAGTGTGCTTCTTTAGATCCATATATCCGTTGAGTCATATCTCTTCTTCATTTGTAAGGAGATTGCCCAGCATTTACTGACATTGAGGATTGATATTACATAACAGTTCAGTTACTTTTTTTTTTCTCTCGCGAACGTTTCCTGTTTCATGACAGACTCCAGTTATTAGATGACAATGTTTCTCGTAGCTCTCAGTCCTAAAGAAGAATTGATTTTCAGAATTGCATCTGACCGGGAACTTTTAGCATTCACTCATAATGAATTTATATTATGAAAAGTTTGATGGTTCGGACAGTGTCAGATTTACTTTTATGTCTTCATCATTATCACGATCCAAGATCTATTTTCTCATTATGTACCCTAGAAATTCTAACTCTCTCTATAAGTGTCCGTTTTGTTTCCGGTTTCTCTAAAATTTGCTAGGTAGGTTATACATTGTTTTCCTCTATCCCTCTTTGCCTTCAATCTGTCCTGTGAGTATCAAATTTTCCAATCCCTCTTTCCTCAATATGAGCCCTAGAAATTTCAACTCTCTCTTCCTGGTGTTAAGTATAAGTGTCCTTCTTGTTTCCATTTTCTCTAAAACTTGCTAGCTGGGTTATGCGTTGTTTTCCTCTGTCCCTCTTGGCCTTCAATCTGTCCTGTGAGTATCAAATTTTCCAATTCCTCTTTCCTCATTATGTGACCTAGAAACGTCAACTGTCTCTTCCTGGTGTTAAGTATAAGTGTCCTTTTTGTTTCCGTTTTCTCTAAAACTTGCTAAGTAGGTTATGCATTGTTTTTCTCTATCACTCTTTGCTTTCAATCTGTCCTGTGAGTATCAAATTTTCCAATTCCTCTTTCCTCATTATGTGCCCTAGAAACGTCAAATGTCTCTTCCTGATATTAAGTATAAATGTCCTTTTTGTTTCCATTTTCTCTAAAACTTGCTAGGTAGGTTATTCGTTGTTTTCCTCTATCCCTCTTTGCCTTCAATCTGTCCTGTGAGTATCAGATTTTCCAAGCCCTCTTTCCTCATTATGTGCCCTAGAAATTTCAACGGTCTATTTCTGATTTTAACTATAAGCATCCTTTTTGTTTCCATTTTCTCTAAAACGTGCGACTATTGAATCGTAATTGGTCTAACGAGAGGCTTTCTAACCAAAACATCATGTCCAAATGCCAAAAACGATGATTTTCTAAACGTGACTTACATATATTCTAAGACCGAAAGTGTGGAACACCCATTGGGGACAGTACTTACTATTCAGTCTTAATTGATCTAGCGAGACGATTTTTTCTAACAATTACACCACTTCGAAGCGCCGCTTGATTTACAAGCGTATCTTAAATACGTTCCAAGGCTGAAAGTGTGGGGTACCCAATCAAGATCGAACTCAATATGTCGTAATTAATCTAGCGAAACATTAACGTTTTGTTCCAGCTTAGTAAATAA